TGAGTGGTGATGAACAAAAGACTAAACTATCAGTGCCTCCAGTTTACCGCTAATTAAACAAAAGACAAAAGGCAAATATTGCTAACATGCATGTGTTTGCCAAAAACTAGATGCGCCATGAGTATACACCAGACTGTCATAAGGCAGTGACATGGTAGTGAGGCAGATTCTGACCGAACTCTGCAGGAGGAGAAATTTGGACAAGACACAGTCTCTCCCCTGGAGCTCACTGGTTTTATGAGGTAAAGAGCCCCTGGGGACACTGAGCACTTTAGCACCTGGCACTTTCTACTGTTGGGTAAGCACTATATTAATGTATAGGTTTCTTTTAATCATTCTGTGTTGATTTAATAATTGTGTGTGATGTGTAGGCTATTTAGGTGTGTATTTGCTCTGTACTCTGTCATGTTTGAAATTTATAAAGATCCTTTAAAAATCTAACATGCATGACTCATGAGCTGAGCTAAAGTAATAAGTTAGCTGAAGTTTAGCTAAGGCAATAGGCTATGTCAAGGCCATACAGGCTAATGTACTGTACTTAATGGAGACACTACAGATGAATACAGTAACATTTATGCCTACTAATGTCATCACAATTGCCACATTGATATACAAATTAGGTGTTAACTAATTAAAATGCGGTTATTTGCACACATTTGACAAGTCACTGCAGTGAATAGGATAAACAACTAAAGCATATCACCACAGAGACTTCCCCAGTTAATGACTTAGCCTACATCAAGAGTGTTTTCCTCTGAAATGTTGTGTTTAAATATGCAGATTATCTTCCATCCATCGTCAACCGCTTATCCTGCGTATGGGGGTCAGCAGATTAACTTGTTATGGTTAATTTTGAAGAAATCTATAGATGCAAACAGATGGAGGGTAGCAGGTTTAAAACAAACACCATCTAAATGTGTTTTAGAAGTTTTCTTTCCATTAGAGTAAAAGAAGACATGGAAGCAAAATAGACCAAAGACTCATAATTGACCACTACATGCAGCCCAATGCCAAAGATTTTTGTTGATTTTATAGTGCTGTTCCAATAACACCAAAAGAATTAAAGCAATTTATTGCCTTGTAAAAAATAAACACATTGTTAATGAAATGATGTTCCACTCCTTGGTGCAGTCATTTATTCTAAATATACTAGTAGCGTAGAAAACATGCACATTGCGGCATAGTTTCCTTTGCTGTTGCCTGCTCCTGTGATAAACCTAGTGAATAGGGGAGAGCGGGGTAAGTTGTAACACTAGAGGCTCTATGTCAAAAATCATATTGCCACTTTGTGTGACTTCTTGTTCTATGATCAACTTCCTGTTCACATGTGGTCAAGGTCAATCTAATCTGAGGTGAGCACAATTTTATTATTTTTTTTGCTTCAAAAGTAAAACATTAATACTTTATGCAATCCAACTTTGTTAGGTATGAATATTCAAAATGATAATTTTGCACAATTTAGGGGAGACAGTTACGTGTCTTTTGATACTTCAGCTGTAGTGCTATGTTGAGCTAACCTTGAGATTTAGCCAACATTAGCACACATGTCAGTTTGGGGCATGTTGTCTCAATGACTTTGGGGCAAGTCGTCACATGTGATTACTTGCACACATAGAACATGCTCAAAAAAGTGTGAAATTGTGTAATTACCTCTGACACCAGTAATAAATGATACTGTAAACAGATTATACAGTGCAGTTTACAGCAGCAGGCATATCTCTGGACTACACAAGACTGAATTCATGACACTGTATGAAGTGTGTATGTGCCTGTGGGAATATACAGTCTCATATTGTAGGCATGTAGCGTGTTAGTAGACTAACACACACACACTACTTCATACAATTATTAATTTAGTTAGGCAACAAGGTCTAACAGTCTATGGCCCAAGATGGCAACAATCACAGCGCATCTAAATGAGACTGGAAAAAAAACTATATTTGGAAAAAACATTGGTTATTTAATGTGATCCATATAGACAAACTGAGCGTAGTATTTTCCAGGAGGATGGGACTGTGCACAAATGACCATATATGAAAAACCGGCTCCGTATGACATAAGTAACAGAGTGTAGAAAAAAAATGAAAAACTGAAGCATTCAGAGCAATGGGAAATCTGAGGTTTTGACTCACAGGGATTTATTTTAATATGTTTACATCATTTTTTTTGAAGGTTGGCCGCATTTAACATGAACGTCTGACATTGTAACATAATAGATATGAAAGAAAATACAGAAAAGCATAATAGGTTCCCTTTCAATATTTATGCAAGTTATTTGCAGCATTCCATTCAATTACCATAGATCTATTTGAACTCCAGAGAATGATTTTAAAGTTCAAAGTAAAGTGGCCATGCCACTTACGGTGTGCTCTGCCAGCATTTTTGTTTTGATTGAAAGGACCGATTTTCCAGATTCTCTAGTCATGATTGTTTTTATTTTTAGTGCTGGTATGAATTTTAAATTTAATATATAAAATCAATATTCACAATTAAGTAGTTGTATTTTTAATGTTTGATAATCCAGTGTGACAATTTACCTGCCGATGGGGCAAATTGTCACAAGTGCACACTCTCAATTCAACAGTCTACAACTCTGTAATGAGAAAAGATATGAAGATTTGATGAATACAAAATATGTGCCTAAGACTTCATTCTTTCATTTGGTATGAAATTTGTACCATTGTGATGTACGGTGTTCATTAAATGTTAGACAGTGTGAAAAGTGTGACAACATACCCCGCTCTCCCCTACTAAAGAAGACCATAGTCTGTATGTGAGCTGATTATTTTGTATTTCTTATTTATCTATTATTATTAGTAGTATTAGTATTAAACAATTGCGTGAGTGTGAGGGTTGTGATAATGTATTTAATGTTTTGTTTAAAATAAATAATTATGAGAAGTTCCCTTTTTTTCACTTGAGCCCTTGCCCACCAAAATGTCTGTGCACATCCCTGCTTGGAGTCATTAGCTGAAGCCACAAGTGTGTACACTAACTTTCCAGCTTTTCATGTATTTGTACTTGTTATGGCGACAACTGTTAGACTGATTAGGGAGAGACAGTAGCTCAGGCGTCAGGCTTGCAAAAATTGGTATTCTCTGGGAATCTGACAAGGTTGAGTCTCACAAGAATGTTTACAAGTACATATTGGCTCCACAGATTAGAGTGTAACACATGGATAGTAATAGATTCCAATATGACGTAGTATTGGAGTCTAAACATTAGATAGATTTGTTGCTGTAGGTTAAGGCCGGTTAAAGATCACCTAAGAGGAAACACTACAGGAACTAGGGGGAAGACAGAAAAATAAAAGGAATCAAAAGATGTTACCCTTCAGATTTGGTATTGGCATTTGTTGAGGGGCAGAAAGCTAGACTCAGGCCTGCTGAAGCCCAGACCTGTTCATAGCATTTAACATTGGTGGAGGTCGACAGCACTTGGAGTTCAAAAGAAGCTACTGGAGTAAGTCAGAGATCGACGCAATACATAATCAAAGCAAGACATAACCAGAGTAAGCCTTAGACTGTCAAGGCACACTGAAAAACATGGTGCGAAAATAGCCCTTGTCTCCCCCTACGTCAGGTGGGGTCTCTGTGAGGCGCCCACCTATTTTCTTAATTTATTGCAACCTTTTGTAAATTCTACTAGTGGAATTTTCTTCTTGGTGGACCCCTCCGGAACCATCTTAAGCCCCGTTCCCACAATATTTTACTTCCTTAGGTTTTAGTTCTACAGTTTTCCTTTAAAACACTAAGTCATCTTATTGTCGGCTAACTTTATCAATCATATCATTGACGGGAGCTGTTCCGTGGTCATATTTATCTTTTAGACATTGTACATGCTTTGAGACACTAGTAGAACTTTCAGGCAGGTTTTTCCCAGGGCATGGGCCCCCTTTGGATCGTTCCGGTCATTTACCATTAGCTCCCAAATACATAGGTCCTGTATTTTTATTTTTAAGATTTATGTCCCCATGACAATACATTCTCACATAGTCATGGTGGCCCAGGAATGACATGCAGTCTGGGTACATGGCCTTATCTCTTTTCTCACAGAGTACCACTGAAACTTTACAATACACTCTAGTTGCATAGCTTAACCCTTCTTCACCCTTCCCTACAGAACACATTTAACAGAACATTCTTGAGGGCCATCTTTGTTAGACTGTCAACTCTGGCCTCACACAGAGGACAGAGTGGCAACTCAAGGTTCAGTCTTAAGCTGATGATACACAGGGCAACTTTTTGAGCAATGTTGCTGGGCAATCTTGCTAGTGGCAAGTCCGACTAAGTTTTGAACGGATAGCGGCAGTGCGGGGCAGGTGTCAGAGAGGTGGGGGAAGGGGATTACGGTAGTAATCTTTACTCATTACCATTGACGACAACGTTGCCCTGCATGATTGCTCTAAAAGTTGCTCTGTGTATCATCAGCTTTACACACAGATCTAACTATGGATGTTACAAGCTTATAAAGGTTTCTGAATAACAGAACTTAATACATTGCAGAGATGATACATTTTTAATAATATACTGAATAAATGAAACATTCTGAGTAACATGGAATTGAAGAAATGATACATTCTTACACAACACATTCAATGTGTTCACATGTTGTATGCTGGCACTGTATCTCCTCGACCGGGCTCAATACTATGTTAAGTCTTTATCTATCTCCGAAACTTCTTCATCACACCTGAACTTGGCTCACAATATTTCTTCAACACTGACAGTAGTACATAAAACAGATAATGTGATGGGAGGGGCTTTGAATGATACAAGCAGCAGAGAGACACGGAAAGTTTTGCATTGTATGTTTAACTGTTACTGACAGCTGCTTTAAGTATTTTTTCATGCCACTTGAGCAAAAACTGGAATGCATTACTTTTATTTCTCTCTCTACAGTGTGGTGTTGCTATTTTTACTGAAGTAACAGATCTTCTTCCACCTCGGAATATAAATAAGGCAGCTCATACTAACCTACTCAGTAATAACAACACTTCATGAGATTTTAATAGGATTTTTAATGTAGGTAAAAGTACAACAAAAATTGCAGAAAATATATGTATAAGATACAAATGTTGTAGAAAAATATTTTTAATGTAGAAAAATATAAATATTAAACTGAAATAAACAGTACACAGATGGTTTGCAAGTAATGGATTTGCATACCTTTACAGCCATGTAAACAGCTAACAATTTTATGTGCAAATGACTAAGAACTCGTGACTTGTATACATTAGAACAGTTTAGACCTAATACTGTACAAACAAAAATGGCATAACTTCAATTTACTCCTTCAATATTCAAAAACATGCTTTCTGTGACAGTCTTGAAAGGCATTTTCCCAAATGAAGACTTTCCCAAAGAGAAGACGATATTTGACTTAAAAACTGTCTCTGATGCCAAAGAAACTTCTGCCCGTCATGTTATTCATCCATGGATTGCTGTGTCCTCTCCATGTATTTCTTCTGAAACACATGGAAGAGGCTGGAGTTCTTGGAGGTAGGAGGTGACAGTAGAGGACGATACTTCTTCTCAGGTTTTGGACACCATGTATCTACGGTGCAGTTAATTCATTATAATTAGGAAAAACTATTGCCACTTACTATATAATAACAAAGACATTAAAAACTAGAATGTAGGTGTGTTTTAGTTGTATTTGTTACCTTTTGGCCTCACAACAGATTTGTTGTGGCTCTTTTCCTTTCCTTCAGGGACGTCAGGCTTATCTTAAAAAAAACAAAAGAAAAAAACAATCAGGCTTAGCTGAGAAAAGACACTGAAAAACATCTTGCAGCAGCATTACAGAACGCATCATTTGAATTATAGAGAGGAACGCTGCTTTTACTTTGACCTTTTTAATCTCAAATTTTATGACTTACCTGGAACAGGATCACTGGTTTCCTTTCTCCCATTGGATCCATCTTTGAAGTTGAAGGTATTGGGTAACACACTGAACCTCAGGACCTCGTTCTCCTGAAGAGGCTTGACAGCAAGGCTTCCATTTCCACCATTACTTCTCTCTTGATGAGCACGCTGTTTGAGTGAGACTGCATCCTTCTTCTTCTTCTTCTCCCCTCCATGTTTTAGTCCATTAGAGAAGGACCTCCTCCTCTTCAGACTCAGGCTGCGCTTAGCATTTCTATTGTGGATCCTCATTTCAGAGGAAACTGGCAGCTCCTCGGTGTTGGTAGGGCCAACCACTTCAGCTTTCTTGTGATTCACCCCAGATAAAGAGGCAAACGATCTCATCTGTGTTTTCAGTTTTTTTCTGTGCCTAATTTTAGTTGGTGGAAAACTTCTTCTCCATTTTTCGTGAATCTTTAGTTTGACTGAATTTTCCCCTGGTGGGAGAGTTTCACGGGACTTTCTCCTCAAGGGACTGAGCTTCACAGTGATAACTTCTGGAGGCCTTGGTATTCCAGACTCTGAAGATGAAATATGTCTCTTTCTGCTGCCAAGTAAACCGCACTGGTCTTGTGTTGAGCCAAAGAGTATCAGTTCTACAGTTCTAACATTTGAGGCTGAAGGTACACCATCAGTCGCATCAAGAAAAACCTTCCCACATTTTGAAACGCCCTCAAGGACAGACTGCGAATCAACATGGGGATTGCATATCGTTGATTTCTTCGTGAATGGAACAAATCCATCATAACTGCTAAGTCTCTTCTGCTTTCTTTCAACAGTTGTCTGGACGGCAGAAGTCGCACTAATTTGTGTTTGTTCTCTAGTTTCCAATGATGACTCTGGCATATTTGTAGATGTCAGCTGAGCTTGTCCACAGTTCTCTTCGAGGGCTGACATCTGGTTGGCAACTTCACTTTCACTGAGATTTTCAATTTCTTTGTCTCTACTGACCGAAGTACATGACAGCGTACTTTCTGTAGATTTCAACTGATCTCCTACACAATCCACCTCAGGGTCTGACTGAATTTCAGTGCCACTTCTGAAGAATTGCTTTCTTTCTTTCTCACTACTGTCTGAACCGCCTAACTGGCCACTTGCTATCATTTGAGAATCCTTTTCAAAGTCTAGCATGTGGCTGCAAATTTCATTTTCACTGATGGAGCAATCCAGATCTTTGTTTTCACTTATGAGTGTGATGCTCGACTGGCTACTAGTTATGCTAATCTGGGAAATGCTCTTTGGTTCTCTGTCAGAATATGAGTGAGGATTGTCGTCGCCTTGAGTCAAGTCAATGGTTTGACAAAAGATGTCAATGTTCTCCCCACTTTTCGCTTGATTCTGTTCTCCTACCACAGAGTGTAATTTGCTGTCAGACCTGATTGCACACCGTTTATCTTTCTTTTGTATGGCAATATCTTCATTATCAAGGGTCTTGTCAGGGAAATCTTTAGGTTTATGACTTGGCTCGTTCTTGCACTGGCATTTAAAAGAAGGTGTGCTTGACCCCATAATCCTGTTCATCCACTTGTCAATGCAACAAACCTGTTCTATTGGAAAGACTGATTTTTTCTTCGGTCTTGAGTCATTCAAAGTGACATCTATAACATCAGGTAGCTCACCCTCCAAAGAGCTACGCGTGACTTTTTCTGGCAACCTGTTTGTGTCCATTCTTTGTGGCATCTTGCTTTTTAGTTGCTCAAAGATAAGTTGGGCCTCGTCTGAAGGCAAAACTTGGATTTCAAATGATAATATGGGTCACTGGAATCGACACACTCTGTTTTACTCGGGGAGACAGTTTGCGTTGAAACACTGGAGGCTTGTTTTTCGTCACTCGAGTCAACTGGTTCAAGCTCAGTTGGTGACGAGACCCTGATTGACGCCTCACTTTCAGTTTGTGCAGGAATGCTGTTGCCTGTCCCAACTTGATCTGGCTGACTGTCACTCTCAAGTACGTGAAGGCGATGCTTCAAAGACCACTGGAAGCCAAACTCTTTATCAATGTCATCTAGCTGTTCGTTGACATTCAACCATGATGATTTGTAGGGTTCTGGTTCTGAATAAACTTCATCATGTTGGAGGACATGGTAGCTGTTGAAGTTTTTCTTTACTTGTGACAATATGACAGTGTCTGGTGTTACATGTTCATAAATGAACTTTGTAACACACGTAATTAAATTCTTATACCAGCCTGTCCTGAGCAATCCTGCCAAGTTTGCAATGCTTCCATCCCAAAACATGTTTAAACATGGCTTCCAGAATGAACCGTAGGAAAATCTCTTTTGCACATCTCTTTTTCGGCATACTCTAAGCACTTACTTAATATGGCACTTGTCCACGGGACTGTTGGTACTGAGGAAAGCGCTTCATCAGCTGGATTTACGCTTTCCTCCTCATCACCGCATTGGATTACTGGCACTTCAGAGGTCAGTGATTGTTGAGTCGTTGGTGAAACACACTGATCTACTTGCATGTTAATGGCCAGTTCAGATCCTGTGTCATCAGCACATATCTGTTTAGGTGACAAGTCTTGATTCTCAGCTGAATCTGAAGATGACACAAAAGTACCATCCCTGGATGTTCGTGAAGATTTGTTAGACCTCAACCTGTTTGGGCTTTCTGGGTAAAGATTAGATTCTTCTCTCAAACATGGAGACATTTGGTTTGTTGTCACAGCTGGTGAACTTAATTTCTCTGGTTTATTTATAGATTCATTTGTTGCAGTGCATTCACCCATTTGATCGACTGTGTTAGAAGAGGTATGCTCGCTGGCAATTTGGTAGCTTTCCTGTGACAACGGCTGTACAACAGCAACAGCTCTTGCGCCTGTTCGACCTGGAGATGAGTGAATGGAGCTGTCATTTGACTTGACTGATGAGAGCCTTTCAAGTATTTCAAGCATTTCACCATTGTTTGCTACAATGATTGGGTCTTATGCAGTTGCATCAGTTGAGATGCGTTGCTTAAAGATCCAACAGGAAAAAATGCATTGGCTGTCTTACTTCCACTTCCATCTCTTGCTGTATTATTATAGGAGACATTTGGTACAGAGCTTTGCTGAGGTGGCGTATCTACGCTGTGCTGTTGTCTTGACATAACACTGCGGGTGGTTTCAGGCAAAGATTGCCTAGAACTGAATGGTAAAGACTGCAAGGCATTTGGGCTGTAACTTTCTGTCACAGTCGACACAGGTTGCATACTTTGATTAGACTCCATCATTCTGACCTCGCTGGCATGTTTCCCATTGTATGGTGAACTGGTATACACTAGAGGTCGACCATCTGAGCTAGCAGTGAAAGAATTACGTAGGCTGTCTGCAATTCCTGCAACTATCATCTGGCGGCTGGGCATTTGTTGTGTATCAGCAGCTGGATTTAAGGAAGGGTTGTTTGTTTTTGCCAAGAACGGGTTGGTTTCATACTGGCGGCCGAATGAATTTGAGTTAACAGAGGTGGTGGCCTCGTCCCCATTGTTCCTTTGACTGGAGTATTGTTGAGTTTTCTGGAGCATGCTGTACGAACTCTGTTCACTTGCTGTGTTTGCTGTAATGCTGTTTGTGAAAGACTGAGAGACAGCCATATCATAGGTTGGTGGGAAGGAAGGAGAGAATCCATGCTGAATGCTGTTTTGTCTGTAATATTGGTTATGAGCAGTCTGTCTGTTTTGTGCAGACATTAATTTGTTGGTCCGACCCACCTGTTCATGTGGAAGCGAGGTAGCTGTTGTAGTGTATGCTGAAACAGGTAGAGTTGACGCTCCATTTACATTTTGAGACAAGCTTTTCTGAACTCTACAATATTGGCGATTAGACATGTTACCATCTTGTGCCCATATTGACTGATTCCAATTTCCCATAGAGTTCTGATGAAAATCTTGCTGCCTGGCAACCTGAACTCCATTAGTGACCACCAAACCATGATTTCCACTTTGCATATTAGTAGAGGATTTTTGCAGATTGCCATTTAAGCCCGTCAGATAATTGTTTGTGTTCACTCTAGCTGGCTGCTGAGGAGAAACGGTCTGATGAGAAACTGCTGAGCATGCCAGCTTGACATCTGTCTGTTAGAGTAAGCTCCATCGCGAAAGGCCAAATGTGCACTTTGTTGTGGTTGGCCTCCTGTGGTCAATGTCCTGTACAGATAACAGTTATTTGCTGTCCCACCTTGCCGATTCCTCATTGTGTCATGGGTAAGAGGAGTAGCAGCTTGTGAGGACTGAGAGAGTGGTCCATGCTGTTGGTACTGTCCATTCATCCATGCACAAGATTGCATTTTTGTCCTCCGTTAAGCCTTGCAGTGGGCTGAAGAGGTACCTTTCCTGAGAGAAATTCAAAAATATTAAGTCATAAAACACTAATTTATGAAAATGGTACATAACTTTACACTCACTCCTGTTTTTTTCTGCCCTTTTTAATGAAGAGAAAAGGTTGGGCTAGGCCAGCTGACTGATCCCAACCCTCAGCAGGACTTTTACTTTTCCCAAATTAACATGGCTTTGCGGTGAGTGACCTCGGTAGTTTTACTTCACATGTAGAAACATAGGAAGGATACAATCTTACATAGAATAAAAGTTATACTTTTACAATCTAAAATGTCACACTAATCAAACTACTTGACAAACAGAGAAATGCATCTTTTTAGATAAACACATGTTGACAAAGTTTGACTTTAGGGACCTAATTGGAAGTTGGAAAAAGGTAATAACTTTCAATATATCTCAATATATTTAAAATCGCAATCAAATTGAATCGCAACATAAATATTGTGATAATATCGCATCGTGGGGCCTCTGGCGATTCCCACCCCTAATAAACAACATTAATAATTACACAACATTGTCCATGTCCCTTGATTTTTAGCATGTCATGGCTCTTTTTGAAAAGCCATCCGGTTAGCCTGCCCCATCTCGTAATGCTATTCACATCAAACAAGTGAGTTTTTTTATACCTTCATCCTGGATTACACACAAATCCATTTACAGCAGGAGTTGCAATGCTGTCAATTTGTAACATTCCTGCTGAGCGACAGGCATGTTTTCTTACATTTCAGCATAATGTGGGAGACAACCCAGGTGTCTTCAAGCCTTTAATCCTTTTTTCAATAACAGCCAAGTTCAATACAATATAATTTTACAGAATATGGTTGATCTGAGCTGTTAGTTAGATAAAAGAAGCAATTTCAAGACATGATGAGCATTTTCACAATTTCTTGACATAATACAGATTAAACGATAAATCGATGAATTGTGAAAATAATCTGCAGATTAAAATCGATAATGACAATCATTAGCTACAGCCATATGTCTTGGTGCAGTTGTTTTGCAATAAGTTCCAAGTCAACTTCTCTCACTCATACAAGAGCTTCACTCAGTAGTCGTTCTTGTCTTTGTCAAGATTGTGATAGATCGTACGATACATCAAACTAATACTGAAGTGGTGCTACAGCAAATCAGTGTGTGAAATCCTGTGCTGAACAATGAATCAATTTGTACAGTGAGAGCATCTACGTAGGACACCCGTAACAACATGGCACAGAAGTCCAGAAAAGAAAGACACACTGATTGGTGTGTTATTGACCTGATCGATGCAAGCAGCAGATCAGTGCAAAACATCAATCTTGCCATCATCTAAAATTGTAATACACCTCTGGGTTGTAAGAGGCCCTCCCTCAACAGAAATCAGTCACCAAACTAATGTACAGGTGAAGGTAATGGAAATAATTCCCCACAGGAAAATACCACTTTCAAACCTGATCAGTCTTCCCCAGTTCAAAATCAGTGTGAGACTAGAAGACCCCACTGGTAAGTAGGACGGAAGGAACAACTCCATATGCAAGTGTGGTAGAATTTTCTTGGTGTTCACCAAAAGAGGTTTTAAAAGACCTCGTCATTGCACCACAAAAACCTGAATCAATTCTACTTTCTGTTGAATAACTTCAGGATCTCCCCACCATGTCTGGACTATTTCAGGCAGTCTACCAAACACTTGTGGCAATAAAAAAAAAAAAACCATTACTGAACTGGCAAACAAAGTTGTTCGACCTCTTTCCAAGAATGTTAATACAATGTTCCATAAACAGGAAACATCTGTTCTTCTCTCT